GAAAAGGGAACCCTAGTACATTGTTGGTGGAATGCAGACTGGTAAAGCCACTATGGAAAGCAATATGGAATTTCCTAATAAAACTGAAAATGGAACTGCTCTTAGACACAGTAATTATGCTGCTGGCATTATACCCTAAGAATCCTGAAACACCAATTCAAAATAACCTATGCACCCCAATGTTCATAGCAATACTATTTACAATAGCCAAGTGCTAGAAACTGTCCTAGAGCCCATTAGTAAGTGAGTGGATCAAAAAAAACTGTGGTACAACTTCTGGCCAAGATGGAGGCATAGGTAGACACACTATGCCTCCTCTCACAACCAAAATAAGGACAACAACAATTTAGAAACAAAATAACAACCAGAACTGACAGAAAATTGAACTGTATGGAAATCTGACAATGAACAAAGTTAAAATGGACACATTCATCCAGACCACTGGGAGGGGCAGAGTTGAGCAGCCAGGCAGAGAGAGATCCCAGCACAAATGGCAGTAGCACTGGGTGCACAAGGGACCCTGGGTTTGCAAAGACAGTGGTGGGCAGCCCCAGGGCACTCAGGTGGCAGGTGGCAAACCCCGGGTATGGGGTGGCAACAGGCAGACCCAGCAAGGCAGTGATCATGAAGCATGGTGTGGCATGCAAGGTAGCTGGCTAACCAGGAAGCCCCACATTCACATGCAGATAAACCAGGTGAAAGTGCGGGGAGAGACAGACCACACAACTCAGGGTCCCAGCGTGGGGAAATAAAGCCTCAAAACACTGATCGAAAACACCTGTGAGGGTGGAGGCACAGGGAGAGACTCCCAGTCTCACAGGAGAGTTCATTGGAGAGACCCACAGGGTCCTAAAACCTACGCAAACCCACCCACATGGGAATCAGCATCAGAAGGGCCCAGTTTGCTTGGGGGAAGTAGCAGAAGTGACTGAAATGTGACAGAGAGCAGAACAAGTGCCATTGTTCCCTCTTGGACCACTCCCCCCACATATAGCATCACAACACAGAGACTGGGTTGCCTCACCCTGGTGAACACTTAAGGCTCTGCCCCTCATATGTAACAAGTGTGACAAGACCTCCAAAAATGGCCCAAACAGAAGAACAGATCAGAGCTCCAGATAAAACTAAGCAATGAAGAGATAACCAGCCTATCAGATGCACAGTTGAAAACCCTGGTGATCAGAATGCTCACAGAATTGGTTGATTTTGGTCACAAATTAGATGAAAAAATAAAGGCTACACTAAGTCAAATGAAGCAAAATGCACAGGGAACCAATAGTGACGGGAAGAAAACTCAGACTCAAATCAATGGAGTGGACCAGAAAGAAGAAAGAAACAACCAAACAGAAAAGAATGAAGAAATAAGAATTCAAAAAATGAGGAGAGGATTAGGAACCTCCAGGACATCTTTAAACATTCCAACATCTGAATTATAGGGGTACCAGAAGGGGAAGAGGAAGAGCAACAGGTGGAAAACTTATTTGAACAAATAATAAAGGAGAACTTCCTCATTCTGGCAAAAGAAATACACTTCCAGGAAGTCCAAGAAGTTCAGGGAATCCCAAAGATGTTGGACCCAAGGAGGAACACACCAAGGTACATCATAATTGCATTAGCCAAGATTAAAGTGAAGGAGAGAATCCTAGAAACATCAAGAGACAAGGAGACAGTTACCTACAAAGGACTTCCCATCAGACTGTCAGCTGATTTCTCAAAAGAGACCTTATAGGCAAGTAGGAGCTGGAAAGAAGTATTCCAAGTCATGAAAAGCAAGAACCTAAATCCAAGATTGCTCTATCCAGCAAACCTATCATTTAGGATGGAAGGGCAGATAAAGTGCTTCCTAGAGAAGGTCAAGTTAAAGGAGTTCATCGTCACCAAGCCCCTATTATATGAAATGTTAAAGGGACTTATCTAAGAAAAAGAAGATAAAAAAACATGTATAGTAAAATGACAGCAAACTCACAATTATTAATGACCACACTTAAAAACAAAACAAACTAAGCAAACAACTAGAACAGTAACAAAACCACAGAAATGGAGATCATATGAAGAATTAGCATCAGGGGAGTGGGAGGAGGAGAGAGGGGGAAAAGGTACAGAGAATTAGTAACATAGATGGTAGGTAGAAAATACACAGGGGGAAGGCAAGAATAATATGAGAAATGTAGAAGCTAAAGAACTTATGACACATGGACATGAACTAAAGGGGGGAATGTGTGTGGGAGAGGGTGTGCAGGATGGAGGGGAATGAAGGGTGGAAAATGGGACAACTCATACCATAATCAATAAAATATATTTTTTAAAAAATATAAAATCCTTACCACTGTCTTATTAAAAAAAAACAACTGTGGTACATTTACACAATGGAATGCTACATAGCAGAAAGAAAGAAGGAACTCTTACCCTTAGTGACAGCATGGATGAAACTGGAGAGTATTGTGTGAAGTGAAATAAGCCAGGCAGTGAAAGACAAATACCATATGATCTCACCTGTAAGTGGAACCTAATTAACAAAACAAAAAAAAAAGCAAAATATAACCAGAGACACTGAAATTAAAAACAATCTGACAGTAACCAGAGAGGAGTTAGGAGGGGCTAATGAGGGGAAAGAAGGGAAGGGTTTTCAGGAATAACTATAAGAACACATGGACAAAACCAAGAAGGGGTGGAATCAGAGGAGGAAAGTAGAGATGGCTGTGGGGGGAGGGGGAGGGGGTAAATGCAGACAACTGTACTTGAACAACAATAAAATATTTTTAAAGTTCTCCTAAAAGGACATACAGATAGCCAATGAATATATGAAAATATGCTCAACATCACCAATCATCTGATAAATCCAAATTAAACTACAATGAAATATCATTTCATACCTGTTAGAATGGCTACTATGAATTAGCAAGCAAGGAACTTCACCAAGATGTGGAGAAAAAGGAACTTTTGTGCACTGTTGGTGGACAGGTGAGAGTCTTAACATTTTGTATTTGTTTATTGGAAAATTCTTCCACTCTCAGGGCTTAAACTTCTACATCTTAGCACATGGCACCCAATTCTTTTTCTTGCCTCTAAATTACTCATTATAGTCACATTGACTGCCAGATTTTTCATCTGGGAGACCAATAAGCTCATTAAATTCAACATGGGCAAAAACAAACTATCTTTCTTTTAAAACTTTCAAAATCCCTTACCCTTTTTTCTCATTTCACTGAGGCAGCAACAATCAGAAAATAACTTCCACCCAACAAGGCTTCCAGCCTAGATGGAGGCATAGGTAGATATGCTTCCCTTCCTTGCACAACCAAAAGAAGGATAACAACCAATTTAAAAACAAAAAGCAACCAGAATTGCCAGAAAATCAAACTGTATGGAAGTCTGACAAACAAGGGGTTAAAGAACCATTCATTCAGACTGGTAGGAGGGGCAGACACTGGCAGCCAGAGCAGAGAGGACAAATGGCAAGATGGCAGCTGGCAGGCCAGGTGGGAAAGGCAGTGGCTGATGGACCAGGCAGTCCCATATTTGCAGTCCCACAGGGGAGCAGGAGAGTGAGACACACTGGGAAAACCACGGTTCCAGCTTGTAGAACTAAAGGCTCAAAACCTCTGCCTGAAAAAACAGTGAGGGGCCCTGTCTGGTGTGGCTCAGTGGACTGAGTGCTGGCCTGTGAATCAAAGGGTTGTTGGTTCAATTCCCAATCAGGGCATAAGCCTCGGTTGTAGGCCAAGAAGCAACCCATTGGTGTTTGTCTCACACACTGATGTTTCTGTACCACTCTTTCTTTCTCTCTTCCACTCTCTCTATAAGTAAGTAAGTAAGTAAGTAAGTAAGTAAGTAAGTAAGTAAGTAAGTAAATAAATAAAATCTTTAAAAAATAAAAAACCTGTGGAGGTTGCAAAAGTGGGAGAAACTCCCAGTCTCACCAGAGAGTCTACTGAAGGGGCCTACAGAATCCTAGAAAGTACACAAGCCCACCTACCCAGAAATAAGCACCTGAAAGGGCCCAATCTGCTGTGAGAAGCAATGGAAGTGACTAAAAATGAGAGCTGAGCAAGTGGCATTGTTCCCTCTCTTACTCCTCCCCCAGAGACAGCACCACAACACAATAAAGTGGGTTGCCCCACCCTGGTGAATACCTAAGCCTCCACCCCTTACAACGTAACAGGTGCACAGAGACAAAGAAATAGGGCCCAAATGAAACAATGATCAAAACTGCAGAAAAAGAACTAGGCAATGATGAGGTAGCCAACCTATGAGGTGCAGAGTTCAAATCACTAGTGATCAGGATGCTCACAGAAATGGTTCAGTATGAAAAGGCAAAATAAAGAAAGTGAAGATGATGCAAAGAGAAATAAAGAAAAATATACAAGGAACAACAGTGACAGGAAGGAAACCAGGACTCAATCAGTGATTTGGAACTAAAGAAAGAAATGAACATCTAACCAGAACATAATGAAGAAAGAAGAATACAAAAAAATGATGAGAGGCTGAGGAACCTCTGGGACAACTTTAAACATTACAACATCCAAATCATAGGGGTGCTTCCCAGATCAAGTTAAAGGAGTTTATTACTACCAAGCCCTTATTATATGAAATGTTAAAGGGACTTATCTAAGAAAAATAAGAAACTACAAAATGACAACAATCTCACAAGTATCAACAACTGAACCTAAAACAAAAATGAACTGAGCAAACAACTAGAACAGGAAGAGATTCACAGAAATGGAGATCATATGCAGGATTATCAGTGGGGAGGGGAAGGGGGAAAATGAGAGGAAGGTACAGGGAATAAGAAGCATAAATGTTAGGCACAAAATAGACAGGAAGGGGCTAAGAATAGCATAGGAAATAGAGAAGCCAAGGAACATATGTATGACCCATGGGATATGAACTAAGGAGGGGTTCTAGTAGGAGGATGGTGCAGGGTGGAGGGGAATAAAGGGAGTAAAATGGGACAACTCTAACAGCATAATCAATCTAATATACTTTTTAAAAAAGAAATGATACATACCTGGCAGGGGAGACATGATAATCAAGAAGGTGGTTTTCCCACCGTGAGGCTCACCCATTACTCTCTGCATGTGCTGAGCCCTGAAATTTCCTCAAACATGGGAAACTGACTGCATAATTTGTGGTAGTGGAAGACTGTGTTTGCACTCTCCCCAAAAATAAAGAAAAATAAAAGAAAAAAATTTCCACAAGATCCATCACCAAATTTACTAACCTAGTTGTATCTGTATGCACATCACTGCCCTTATTCCTTGTAACCATAATGATCTGTCCCTGCTCCTGTCTGCAAGTCTGGCTCCTTCACTTCTCACCCTCCCACAGTCATGTTCCTCTGTCCTCAATATTTCCTTCTCAAATGGACCATTCCCTATAAACATACAAACTAACTTCCCCCTCCAAGGGAAAAACTCACTGGATCCCACATCACCCCACTTCTCTGCTTCCTTTTGCAACAGAGGTTCCCAAAATAATAATCAATACTGGTTGTTCTTTTTTCTTCCCATATTCTCAAGAAACAATTTCTGTTAGGCCTTACGCCTTGCAGTTACTGTCATCAGAATTTTTCTTGTCCCCAGTGACCTTAATGTTATCAAACTCAATAGCTACTTCTAGTCCTCATATTACTCAACTTAAAATCAGCAGCTGGCATAGCTAATTTCACCTTCTTGAAACTTTTTCCCTCTGACCTCTGCAGCATTACTCTCCCTTGGATCTCTCCCTAGCTCACTGCCCACTTTCCTTACTCAGTCTGTTTTGCTGGTTCTTTATCATCTCCCCACCCTCCAAATCTTGGAACTTCTGGGCCCCTTTCTTTCTCTCTTCTTACTCTCCAGGTGATCTCATCCAGTTTCATGGATTTAAAGAATATCTATATGCTGACAACTCCAAAAATTACAAATTACATCTCTAGACCAGAGTGCTTCCCTAAACACAAAATTTATTTATATATATAAATTTATATATAAATAAATATATAAAAATAAATGTTTATATTATTTACTCAAACTTAAAATTTATATATAAATATATAAATAAAATGTTATATATTTATTTAAACTTAAATATATATGTATGTATGTGTGTGTATATATATATATATATATATATATATATATATTCAGTTCATTTTAGACCCAACACACATACATACTCACTGAGATTTCTCCCTCTCAGTAAATACCAACTTATTTGCTCCTGGTAAAATCTTAGAGGCCACCTTGACACCTTTCCATTTCTTACACTTCAAGTCCAAATCATCAGCTTACATTTAAAAATATGCAAAATCTACTTTTCACTGCTTCTGCCAGTATCACCCCAATCTGAGCCTCCATCCTCCCTGTGTAGACATGCAATAGCTTCCAAGATTCCCTGCTTCTCCCACTGTTTTATTCTTCCCACAGCATGCAGAGTGAATCTGCCTCAGAAGCTGTAAGTCAGATCATAGCACTCTCTGTGTAAAACTTCCACTGCTTTTCCACATCAGAACAAAATTCAAGGTCATTTCTGTGGCCCACTAGCTCCCACATGATCTCCCAAGAAGTTCCTGCCCTAACTACCTCCCTGATCTCATTGCTACCACTATTGCTAGTTCCTACATTACCTTGATTAATTACTTCCTATCTGGTCTCTCTATCTCTGCATCTCCTCCCTTCCATAATATATTTGCTCATCACTGCCAGATTAATCTTCTGAACCATCACTTTCATTTTTAAAGTACCTTAAAGCAAGGAATTGGTCTTGTTTACCTTGGAATACCCTGTGTGACATACTCAGTAGGTGCTTAAAAATTGTAAAAAATATGTTTTAAATGTGTCAAACTATGTATAACTCACCTTAATCCTGAAATGCTAAGGTTGCTTTTACTCTAAGGCAGTTCCTTGCCTACAGCTCTGTAAGGACCCCCTCCAAACTACAGAACACAGTTCATGGCCCCTCATGATCTGGCAGTGCCTGCCTCATGGTCTCCCCTTCTCAGTACTAATCCTCTCCTGCCTCAGAACATAACTTTCTCCTGGTTGCTTGTGCTTATACTGTTTTTCACCCTCTTGGGATGCCTTTTCTTGCCATTATCAAACTCTACCGCCCCTTCAAAGTCTGGATCAAGCTAAACTTCTCCTTCAAGGCCTGTCCTAAGCATGCTACCCCCAAAACATCCTCTGCTCTGTCCTCCTGTAGGTCTAGATGGTAGCAACAGTCATTTGGTATTAAACACATTCAATTATTCATTCACCACTCACTCATTCATTTACCACATGTTTATATTACCAGGCCTCTACAGATATTAACAATATTTTCTGTCCATACTTCTTCCTGCACTCTTCAATTGTGTTATAAATTCTTTTAGGAAGAAAATGAAGATTTTAAACTTATTTAAATGGTCTATGCGATGTGTGTGTGTGTGTATCTGAAAGAGAATGTGGCCGCTTCATAACTCTGTGTTGTTATATATTGTGCCATCTGCATAGAATGCCCTCTTTCCAGCTTACATTATTCCCATCTGTGAGGAAAATTCTTACTCTTCTCCACATGGACAAATCAGAGTGATCTCTTCCTCCCGTGAGTCTCCTCTACCTCCAACGCAGTGCACATGTCTGGGTCTCATAGTTTCTGGTATGTTTTCTTTGGTGAATGATTTCGCTTCCTAATGCCACTAACAGTGACATTCCATGGTATACGTAAGTACTTTGCATCCTTCACAGGAAAAAATACAAATTAACTCCACACAGGTGTTATAGTCATCTCTGTGCCAAACACATCTGTGAACTTTAAGATGCACATTCTCACTATTAGTACCTTATGTATCTGAAACATGTTTCAGCCTTTTGTACACTAACAACACCCATGCAAAGTTACTATGGAACCTTCCCTTAATGCATTTGAATTACTGAGTCCGCAGTTTTATGCCTCTGTGGTTGTTTTCCCTACTGTTCTATTTCTGTGCATTGTCTTAAGAGTAGAGATTAAGTGAATTAATCAGTAGAATACACCTGATGTGTACTGAAGGTCCTATGTGAGTGCTCATGCTTGCCACTGCTTGGGTACCTCAAATAATATTTAGAAACAAAGAATTAAGAAGCTTGACTATCATCCAATTCTGAAAAATGATAAAAACTTAGAAGGGTGAAAGCTATGAATGAAACTTTAGAAATGTGATTCTATGAAAAACTTAGGAAGGCAATACTATGGTTAAAATGGCATTTTCTAAGCAGAATACCTTGATTCAAAATCTCCGCCCTGCTTCTTTCTGGTTGTGTGCTGTTAAGCATATTATTTTCTACTTTTTATTCTTCATTTCATAAATGAAGATAATATAAGAAAATAATTGATAGTTTTGTGATTATGAAAGATAATGTATATAAAATATGTAGCATACTGCCAGTCACATTAGTAAGCACTCTCTAAGTAAATAAATGTTATTTATAAATACTGTGTCAAGAGACCAGAAAAACAACTGTTTTCATACTTAAAAAAACAAATAAGGACAAATGTTTTCTTACTTAAAAACAAATTCTGTAAGATCTTAATAGCAAATATGATATATTATGGCATAATTCTAGAAAATACTATTTAAAAGATGACTTATGAAAAGAAAAAAGTGATCCCTTTAGGCTAGCATAGGTTCATTATGATTAAGTCAAATCCACTAATCTTATTTTTTTTGGAAATTATTATTAGACAGACATGTGTAATACCTGTGATTATGCAGAGGTAGTGTATCTTCATTATTTGTAATGTTTTATACCCTATTTGGTGATTTTTAAAGAAATATAGACAAAAATGAGAATTTTAAGTAAGCTGGCTAAAAATATATCAATGGTCATTAAGGAGTAACTGATACCAGGCTCACCCTCCTATAGTAACTAAACAAAAGCAATGAAACTATCATTTTTAGACATTAGAAAACAGGCTTAATTGTAATCCTGAGACAAGAGATTCAAACTAAATGAGCCCTACAATTGGCTAGGCATTCTGCCTGAAAGCACCTCTAAGGCCATATAGTACAGTGAGAAGCAGCCCAAGCAAAACAGAGTAGTCTTGCTGAATTTAGGAGGCAGAGATCAGAGCTGAGAAGACTGGGGTAGCTAGAATTTGTGGAATAAAATACAACAGAGAAAAAAATCTACACAGGAATTTTAAAAGCCAGAAATTTGTATAATAATCCCTTTGAGTCTTTCCTTGAACACTAAACTACATATATGCTCAAGAAGAAATTTCATTATCTCAAGCAATCACTGAGAAGCTGTAAACTGAATACAAGATCTGTCTGGAAAAATTCTACCCATTAATAATATAATGAGTATGGTTTGCACAACATCCATGTGACCTGGCATCCAAGGAGTGGACTGGCATGCACATGTGTGAACAATGACAACTTCACAGCACTAGTCAGTGGTGGCAGTAGATGCTGGTGAGTGAGCACATCTACTGTGTGGCTGTTGCATTAAAAATGACTAAGTGAGTACCGCAACAAATCTACATTAAATTTTGCATTAAGTTTGAACATTCTTCTGCAGAAGCTATTCAGATGACTCAGAAGGCCACAGCTATGGGCAAAGGTAATTGGCAGCTTCATCATAACACTGTGCCCACTCACACGTCACATCTCAGGAAGAGTTTTCTGGTAAAACATCAAATCACCCAGGTGACTCAGCCCCCCCACCCCTGCAGCCCATATTTGGTGCCCTGTGATGTCTGGCTTTACCCAAAACTAAAATCACCTTCAAAAGGGAAGAAATTGAAGACCATTGATGAGATTCAGGAAAATAAAATGGGACAGCAGATGTTGATTGGGAAAACTGTGTGACGTCCCAAGGTGACCACTTTGAAGGAGACTGAGGTCATTGTCCTGTGTACAATGTTTCTTGTATCTTCTTCAGTAAATGTCTCTAGTTTTCATAGTACATGGCTGGATATCATCTAAACAGACCTCATATTTCTAGAGCTCACATGGGGTTGGGAGACAGTCAAGGTCTAACTAGCCAGCATAGAGATTTTTAACCTTGGGATGACATTAAGTACAGACTCCAGAAGAGCCACTCCTTAGAAATATGGTAAAAAGTACCCCAAGGATAAAGGCTATTTCAGACTTACTTTTTAAAATTATTTAAATAAGTTTCAAAGGGATCATGGTGATTCATAAGTAACTTAATGGCCTG